GTGATATCAAAACCATTTGAAAGAACACGAGAACTCGCACAATACGTCAACACTTATCCTTATATAGCATCATCCCGTTTATTCCTAGCTTTGTAACACAAAAGTTTGTGATTCCACAAACAGGGATGCTCTTCCATAAACTTTATATGTTCAATTTTTTAGATTTACTTGACGTTTCCATTACTTTTCTGAAAACGAATAGTGAAAGCATTTGTATTTTTTTTTTTGACAAACTGTCACACATGGCAAACTGGCGCCAAAAAGTAGACATCCATTCTACTTTACTGGCGCGTGAATAAGTGGCGCAAGTTAACTGGCGCCAGCTAATTTTCCGAGTTTCCACGCGCCAGAATAGTTACGCCAGTCGACTAGCGCCAATAAACTATGCATGTGGAAACGCCGCTTTAGTGTCATTTTTGGCATATTTTCAATGTTCGATAATTTCAATTTTGAAGCTTCTCAGCTGCAAAATTGTTGGAACCAAAATAAAATATTAACTAACAAGTTTGTAGAGAATTTAGTTGGCTTTAGTTAGAGCCTAATTGCGTTGAAATTAGATGATAACTAAAGTAGTTGTGAGGCCAAAACTGTCTTGTGTAATTTTTAGCATATTTTCAATGTTCGATAATTTCTGACTAAATAGAAATCTGTAACTAAATTAGGTAGCCTCTAGAATGCTCGTAGAAAAAATATAGTTCCTGACGCTTGCGGCAAAGTTTACTTGCGGGAAGAAATTTCCGGCACTCGGGCGCAAATTTTTCTTCCCGCAATCGTTAAGAAAATAGCTATTTATCACCTGTTCTTACCAGTCATTTTTTGTACAGGTTTTTTAATGTTGGCGTTTCCGATTGGTAGATCTAGTGCGGAACTACATAGTGCAATTTTTTTCTATTTCTTTCTTTGTGTCAGTGTGTGTTTTAAACTTTTATCAAGTTGTCACAATATTTCTAATTTTGTAATCACTTTTACATTATTTCCTAATCGATATCTTGCATATCCGTTTTCTTGGCAATGTTTTTCCGTTTTAGATTGTCTTGAAGTGGTTTTCGCGTGAACTCGAGACTATTTTAGTTCAGTTTGTGACATTATTGATTGCTGAAGAGACATTATTTTATTTGAAAATTGGTAAAATCGGTGTCATTGGTTTGTTTTGGTCATATTTGGTCATATTTGGTCATTCATATTTATGGGGTTCAGAAAGAAACGATGAAGAGTTCCAATGCCTGGTAGTGATGATGCTGACAGCATTATAGGAGCCCAAGTTCAACAAATTACGATGACACCTAAAATGCTCTATCGATGCTTTGCATCAATCTTTTGGATATTTCAAACCTCCGCATAAGATTTATAGAGAACTCTTTCCATATCCACAAGCTGATGAAAATACTGAAATTTTGTTAGTAAATGTAGAGCTCTTCTATTAAATTTAAAAGGAGAAATGGCTATTTCTGAGCATGCACAGCTAGATATGGTATATGGACTTTTAAATATACGCATTAAAGATAAAGTTCAACGAGATCAGATTAAAACTTTCAAGGGTCTCAAAGAAAAAGCTCGAGTTGTCGAACAAACATTATTTGATAATATCGCTAATGCAAAAACTAGGTAGGCAAAATATTCAGTTCAACGATCCAATTACAGAATTATCGCATAATTCAAAAGTGTATATTGTAGAAATTTTGGTCATGTTAAAGAAAATTGTAGAAAGTTAGCTTACAAAAATGCTCAGTCTGAAACTAAAAAAAATTCCCATGAAACTTCTATCGAACTAGCTGTTAGTTTCAATGCAAACATCTTGAATAGGAATTCTAAGCAAAATATAAGTGTCGCAAATACTTCTAGTTTGATGTGTTATGGTTGCAACAAACCTAGTTTTATAAAAACTAATTGTCCTAACTATTCGAAGACTACTGAGACTTGTGCCTTTTCCTCAGAATTTTATACTATAGCAACAGATAATTTGTTTTCACCCAATTTTTGCACTCGACCCTTAACTTATGTTATTATACAAGGTCATCATGGCTTAACTTATCTTGATTCTGGTGCACAATCAAGTAGTGCTGGTGCTAAATTGAGTAAAATTGAAAGTACTCAAGTTGAAGCCTACTCCTTTGGTGTTGAAATAATGCTCCATGATAGAATTCATCAGATTTGTCTCATTTCTATTCCAGAACATCATAACAGCAGAACACTTCTTGGCACAGATTTTTTGAAACTAGCCAATATAGTGTTGGATATGCCCAAGGACTCCTGGTTTTATGGTGATTCTCCCGACATTAAATATTCCTTTATTTATGATAATGTCGCTATTAATAATCTAGAAACCTCCGATGCGACCAAAATTTCACAAGACTTTTTTTCAAGAACTGATGAAGGACATAAACTTTCCCCTGAACAAAAGGATGTTCTTCAAAAATAACTTCAAACTAATTTACATGTTTTCAGTAGTCGGCCTACTCCTTTTGCAGAGCATTCTATTAATTTCATAGATAAAATTCCAATTTATGTACCTCCATATCTGAAATAAGAAAAGAGCAATTGCAAAAAAAAAAATGAGAAACCCTTTGCCGATGGAACTATAGAAGAGTGCGAGTCTCCCTATGCTGCTCCTGTGGTTCTTGTTCAAAAGAAAGATGGTGGCGTTAGGTTGACTGTTGATTACCGCAAGTTGAATGTGAAAACAATAGCCGACAGATACCCCTTGCCTCATATCTATGATACATTACATGCTGCAAAGAAAACTCGTTCTATGACAACTTTGGATTTAAGATCTGGTTATCATCAACTATCAGTCAAACCATCTAATCGAGACAAAACTGGTTTCATTTGTCCTTTCGGAACTTTTAGATATACAAGAATGCCATGTGCATTACGAAATGCTCCGTCTACATTTCAAAGACTAATTGATAGACTTCGTTCTGGACTTCAAGATATTAATATATTAGCGTACCTCGATGATATAATTATTTTATCAAACTCATTTGAACTTAATGTTAGTGATTAACAAAAAGTTTTCGATCGCTTAAAATTATTTAAACTTTAATTAATCCGTTCGAAATGCAAATTTTTTTGGTTCTTCTGTCAATTACCTCGATCATGTAATAACTTCTTCTGGTATTGCTTAAAACCCAGAAAAAGTTTCTGCTATTTCTAAAATACCAAATCCTCGAAATGTCAAAGAACTACTTTCTTTTCTATGAACTTGTTTCTGATTTCAACGTTTTATGAATAATTTCGCAGAAATTTCAAAACATCTTATTTTTCTCATAAAAAAAAACTCAAATGGATCTGGGGCTCAGATCAAGTCAATGCTTCTGAAAATCTGGAATCGCTTACGTCTAGTCCTTTTCGTCAGCAAGCTGACCCTAAGAAACAGTATAATATTCTCAAGATGGATGCCTCTAGCTATTCTATTGCCGCATGTTTACTCCAGGGGGAGGGGTCAGAAGAAATACTTATAGAATACGCCAGTCGTTTATTAACATTAGCTGAGCAAAACTACAGTACAACAGAGCGAAGAGCCCTAGCAGTCGTTTGGTCCGTGACTGACAAATTTAGGGGCTATTTAGAATGTGCTAATGTTATCGTCAAAAGTGATCATCAGCCCTTGAAATGGCTTATGACACTCAAATCACCTTCGGGCAGATTAGCAAGATGGTCTTTAGCTTTGCAATCTTTTGATTTATGTATTGAATATAATCCTGGGAAAGATAATGTTGTTGCTGATATGTTATCACGCCCTGCAATTCCTGCAGCAGAAGCCAATCTTGTTATTGTCGATTTACCTAGACAAAAAGCAAATCAGATCAGACGTGAACAAATGATTGTCCCAGATCTCGATAAAATAATCCAATGTTTTGAAAACTCTGATAATGGTTCTTATGTTGATTTTAAAAGATGGACTGAGAGAGGCTACATCATGAACTGTAGCGTACTATACAGTTATGTTATGGAATAAATGTATCTTAAGCTGGAGACCTTGAGAAACTAAAAGAAGTAGAGGAAGACCCCAGATGAGGTATGCTGATGACTTGAAGAAGCACGCTGGAACCAGGTGGATGAACATGGCAACAGACAGAGAAGAATGGAGAAGACTGGGGGAGGCCTATGTCCAAAGATGGACTGAAGAAGGCTGGATAGATAGAATAGAGATACAGTTATGTCCCTAAATTAGATGAAGATGAAGCTCAACAAGTAGTACCGAAATTTCAAGTTCCTCAAATCCTTGTCGAGTACCAAGATTCTCCATTAGCTGGCCATTATGGCGTAGAACGTACTTATCAAAGAATTACAAGTCGTTTCTTTTGGCCTGGAATGAGAAGAACCATATGTGATTATGTTAGTAAATTGTAGACTGCCAACGTTATAAAGCTACAAATCTTAAACCTACAGGACAAATACAGACTCCTATTCAAAGACAGCGTTTTGAAACTATTTTCAAGTAGATGGCGCCACGGCAAAAAAGCTACATTGGGAGCATCATAATTGTATATTTGTCTTTCTGTGTCAAAGTGTTTCACCGACAAACAGATTTTGTTTTGGACAAAAAATAAAATATTGAACCGTATGTGTAGAGTGACGCAGTCGTCATTTTCGAAAAATAAATCTAAACATAGCGGCCATTAACGCGGCCTTAATTAACAGGTTTGTAGAAAATTTAATTATGTTTAATAATTAAAGGAGCTGTGAGGCAAAAACTATCTCAGTATAATTTTTGGAAAATTTTCAAAAGAACAAAAAAGCCAGTAAAATTCAACAACTCCACTTTGAGATATGGACTACTTCTTCCTTTTAAAATTTTCATTGTTCGATAAATTTAATTTTGAAGCTTTTCAGGTGCAAAATTGTTGGAAAATATACAATTTTGTTTAGTCAAGTAAACACAGCAAACTATCACAATAACAGCAAAAACCCAAAAACTCATTAGGCATTTTCCGCATAAATTCTTGGTGCTAAACCATTAATTTCCGGTTAGCAAAGGTAATAAAAAGGAACCTAAATTAAATAATTAATTGTTTTTATTAAAATTACATCAGATTATAAACATTGAATTGAACTAAAACTATTTTTTCATATTTATATTGGAGTAAGTTTGAAACCGTTCTTGCACATACAAAATTGAAGCTTTGTAGAGGAACTGCAACTGGTCCTAGAAAAATATAAAAAGAATAATAAGGATGCGAAGATTAATTTTATTGCCAGTAATCAGACTCTTTAAGCCTTAAGGTTTATTTCAATAAAATTCTACTGTATAGTTTTATAGTTTTCATACCTGAAACCTCAGGGTGCGACGCGTCTCAAATCGAAATAAGTCTGGTAAATTTGTATGGAATATTTAATTTAACTTGGCAAAGGGATTTGAATACTAATAAGGTTTTATTACCCTACTCTACCTACATTTCAGAAACGTTGTAAAAAATTATTATGCTATACCAAAATTTACTTTTACAAAATATTTCGATTCAAATTGATCTGAATTGGCCTTTTTGTCTCCCTCAAGTTTTCTCATAAAATCAGAAAATGTAATGGCTATAGACCCTGAACAACTCCCATCTAGCCATCTCTATATACTCTTCCTGATTAGAAATTTGTTGGTCATCGACCTGGAAGCAGATTTACTTACTTTAGTGTTGCAAAATTGTTTTCTGCTTGTTCGAATTGTGCGAATCGCTTGACATACATCGCACTCTTGTTCTAATTTAATTTTTTCTATTAGAAATGACATGGCTGTAAATAGTCCACAAGCTGTTACACCATCACTGAAATATAATTATTGATAGGTAAGAAATATTTTGGGAGAATCATTGTGTTTATCTAGTAGATGTTTTAAGAAGACCATGAGAAAATCTAATATGAAAAAGTTACTCCTATGGAAGAGTATTTTTTAACTTTTATAGTATTTTCATATTTGTGTAAGTACTTACTAGCAAGTTACCAGTATTTGATTTGAATGTCTTCCAATCATCATAGCTTCTTCTACAAATGTGAAAAAATCACTGTGGTCGATGATATCTGGATAATTCCAGCCGTGGAATTTTACAATTTGGACTTCTTTGGTTTCTTTCTAGAAAACAATTAAGTAAGTTGTTATGGTATCTGAACGGAAAAGCTAATGATGAAGTGAAAGTAAGATAGCATATCCGATGGTCTAATGTTTGAGTGAAAAAAAAAAAAAATGCAAAAATTAATAGCTTCAAATATGTGGTACCTTCTTTTATCCTTAGATATAAGAACTAACTTACCCCTCTATGTTCATAATACGACGAAAGCTCAAAATTCATAATAGAATAAGATTGAAGATTTTTGCTTTGAATATGCTTCACTTCAATTATTTCATTCGGAACCAAATTTTTGTTGTGCTTGGGCCAAAACAACTTACAAGTCTAAAAGTTAATAAAACAACCACTTCAGAAATCAATTGGAAATCTTATGTTACTTACAAGATCATTGACGGGAATTTCATTAAGGCAAATAACTACGGAAATATCTCTTTCTGCTATCAATCGCCAAAAATCGCCGATGGTATGCGGAAGTGGAAACTCGGTCACGATGAATCGCCTCGGATGACAAAATCCATCGACATGTACAGCGTTTATGTATGCCGAGTTTGATTGCGTAGATATGGGAAGTAGAAACACACTTGCAGCTTTATCTGTGAATTTTTGAAAAATAAAAGAAAGGCTTAGACAGTGTGGACCAGAACCGAGGAGATTTTTTTAAACCAATCCAAACATGTTTTATTAGGAGGCAATGTTTCCGCTCTACGACTTTTACGGAATATAGATTTAGATAGATCAAATTTTCGATGTTTCCTTGTGTTATTATTATTATTATTGGCGGCTTTTCACATAAGATTCTTCTTATGGCAGGGTGAGTAAGAAGTTCACTGAGTGCACACCATGCATCTAGGGTGAACTTTCCATTGACGATGACGTTGCTGCAAAACTTTTCGTACAATGTTGGCAGTTTTGAGAAGAACATTTTTCTGTAGACTGAGTAAGTGGTGTTTTCTCGGGATCCCCTTAATGATCAATTGTGAATAATGCGATATGAGCCCTGTTGCTCCTATCACCACCGGAATAGCTCTTGTCTTCACGTCCCACATTCTCTCATTTTCTATTTGTAGGCTTTTATATTTCAGGCTCTTGTTTGCCTTTTTCTCGGTTAATGTTGTAGTCAGAAAAGATGGAAACATCTATTATCAGGCAGCGCTTCACTTTGTCCTTTAATACAAGATCCGGTTTAATGGCCGTTATATTTCGAACAGTTTGAATTTCGAGATCCCATATCAGTGTGATCCTCTCTATATCTACCACAGCGTCAGGTTTATGGTCATACCATTTCCCTGTTACTTCAATTCCATAGTCCCTACATATGTTCCAGTGTAGGTGGGCGGCGACTGCGTTGTGAAGCCCAAGATATTCATTTTTGGCAAGAATCGAGCAACCTGAGACAGTGTACAGTTTTAGTCTGTGAATTTTGGTCTTAAGATAGTTGGTTGGCATTGCTTGCTCTTGACATGCAGTGATGAGTGCTTCCGTCTCTACTTTCAGTTCACCATAATTTAGCCACATCCAGGTATTTACTTTATTAATGGTTTGTTTCTCTCTTTCTTTGAGAATCTGTCCGTCCACCCTTTTTTCTTTCCATCTGTTAATAATTGTTTACTGATGCTGATCCTTCTTCTCTTTGATTTCAGCTTTGATCTTCTTTACCTCCTTTGTTTTAGATGTTCAAGGGGTGTTTGCCGTTCTTGATGCATAGATTGGATTCTTGTTTGCGTGTCCTTGTTGTTTCCTCGCACATCGTCTTTAAACCATCCCGAGGTATTTGTCTTGTTGTTTTAATTCTAGGTGTGAGTTCTTGAGCTGCGATCTCGTGGCTGGTTTCTAAGCCTTAGAGCGTAGAGTCTATCTACATCAGATCTTGGGTGTAATGCGCCATGGATAGTGATCTGCTCTCTGGTTTTCCTATCTATTGCTTTGATTTCTGCCAACGTCCACTTTGTTATTCCGAAGCTGCATTGCAGTACCGGGACTGCTAGTGTTGTGATGGATGACAGCTTATTTTTGGCAGTGAGCTCAGTTTCGAGGATTCCTCTTACTCTTATCATGTATGCTTATGTAAGTTTTTTTTATTCGCTGGTGACTTATGTTTTCATTTTCTTCTACTCCTAGGTATTTATAAAGATTTCATGCTCTTCAAGGGATCGGATGAGTGTTATCTCGTGTAGTTTTACATTTTTTCTTTTTAATATTTTATCCCTCTCGATTGTTATTTTGGCACACTTTTCAATTCCAAACTCCATATACATATATCGTCGCTTAATTTTTTCACCATGTCCAGTGGTGTTTCCAGCTCGCTGACATTCTTGGCTATTAGCTTCAAGTCATCGACGTATACTAGATGGTTGATTTTGGTTTTTTCTCTCTTGCACTGGTATCCGGTGAGTGATTTGTCTAATAAAACACTATGTGAGGCCAGTGCAATTACAAAGAGCAGCGGAGATAGCGAATCTCCTTGGTATGTCCGACGTCTAATTTTGATGTTCTTGACTCTTGACACTTATGGTTTCAGAGGTTGTGGTCAGATAGAGGTGGATTTTCCATTGTGTCATTCATTTTTTGATGTAGGATGTCATTGTCTCTGATGCTTTGGGTATTTTTAGAGATTCCAGTAGCCAGCTATGAGTTAAACTATTATCTCAACAATCTTCACTAATCATTTTGCTCACTAAGAGGTGGTCCTTACACCCATATGTATCTTTTAGGCAGCCCTTTTGTTTGTGTGATAGTAGATTGTTGTCATGTAGGTGCGTGTACAGTCTTCGTGTTATTATACTGGTCATTATTTTGTAAATAGTGGTCAGGCAGGTGATGGGCCTATGGTTGGCTTTTTGGAATGAGGTTCGTCTCTCTTTTCGCTAGCCAGTCAGGTGTTTCCTCCGCTTCTCTAATCATGTCATCGTAACAGAAAAGGAGTTTCTTATGGGTTGATTTGAGTTTTTTCAACCAGAAGCTGGTCACACTACATTTCCACATTATTATTATTATTATTATATATATATTTTTTCTGTCTGGTCTCTTCCAACAAGACCGTGGCTAAGGCTGCATCGGTCTATTTTCGCAAAATGGTTGCCCGTATCTACAACTCTAAGACTGACTTAACGATGTTTGCCGCATCAAGAATTATAAGGATTTTTGCATTAGACGAAAAGTTTTGTGTTCAACTCCAATCTCCTCTAAGGAGTTCTTTAGCCCAATCGGCACAAGGCCCATTGATGTAAGGATGATTGGAACAATTTTAACTTCCTCTTCCACATGTCTTTTACCTCTCGTTTTAATTCGGCGTACTTTTCCATTTTCTCTCTGTGCTTTCTGTCTATATTATGGTTGTTTGGTATGGCAATATCGAGCTGCGTTTTTGTGTTGTTTGTTTATGATAGTTATATCTGCTTTGTTGTGATTTATCGTTTTGTCTGTTTTTATTTGATTACTCCTGTAGATTTTGACTTTTGTGTTTTCTATCACTGGTTCTAGTTTGTACTGATTATACAACTCACTGTACATTATTCCCATATGACACGAGAGGCTTAACAAGTGATAAGCCTTTTGGGAATATCGCGCTTGGTGGCAATATTGTTATTAATAATAATAAAAATTAATAAAGCATTAAAGTTTAGTTCGTTGTATAACCTTTTGAATACCACTCGATGTTTCAGGATTACCCAATACTTTTACCTGACACTCAACGCGTTACCAGCAACACCACTCCTCCTTCGAAGTCGTGGTGTTGGTGGGTAACGCGTTTCGTGCCAGGTAAAAGTATTTTCCGGTAACCCTTCAATAGTTCCAGGTAAACTATAGTAGCTAATCGATCATGCCTTTCTATGTTTTTTGTTCCTGCCAGTGTCTGGCACCCAAAAAGGATATGGTCTACCGTTTCAGGTTCCGCTTTGCATATCCGGCATCGGTCGTTTTGTATGTTTTCCTTGATGATCTCTTATAGTTTAATGTAGCTATTACCTGGTCCTGAATACCTTCGGCTTCCGGGAACAAACTTTCTGTCAACCAACCAGCGAACATTAGCGCTTGTCCACCGAATCGCGCCATAGCTCTTTGTAAAAACGACCATGGAGAGCTTTTGATCCCCATTCTCTAAGAAGCTGGTCCCTTGATCTTTCCGTTAGCTGATTGTGGTTCTCGGCGTTCAGATTGAGTGTAATTGTTGTCAGCTCTGATTACAGCTCTATAAATGCCGTTATCTTCCCCTCTGAAATACACTTTTAAGGATCGTATCTGTTGTTTGCAAGCAGCAATCGCATCGATGCTTCCACGTCCCCCGTCTCCTCGTAGTAGATTGATCCTCTCCACAGCTAACCCCGGGTGATGTTTTTTAAATTTTGTTAGCTCAGTCCTAACCATTCGGTTAATATGATCTGTCAGTTTGCGTCCATTTTACAACACCAAATGAGTATTGCAAAATGGGAAGGGCGTAGCTGTTAATAGCCTTGGTCAAATTTTTGGAGCTGAGTTTGCTTTTAAAAAGCTTTCTCAATCGGGACTGGAATTGGTTGGTATATTCTGGTGTGTTCGATCTTGTTTGTCTGCAGGATTCCGACATATTTATATGGGTCTTGGTTCATCGATATCACCACTGTGGACGTGTGTAGTTGGATATCAGGCCCTTGAATCAGTCTGCCTTTCTCCACGATAACTGTCTGACACTTTTTCACGCCGAAGTTCATTCCATTATTAAAGCTCATTTGGTGGTTCAGTTTTAAGATAGTATCAAGTTGCTTCCTGTTCGCGGTGTATATTTTTAGGTCATCCATGAAGAGATGATTGCTGATAACTTTCGAGCTTCTGCCGTGTTTTAGGGCGAATCCATAACCTGTTTGACTTAGCGTTTCGGATATATTGGGTTCAGAGCCAGACAGAACCACAAAGCAGACAGTGAATCCTTTTGAAAGATACCTCGCTCTAGATTGTAGATTGTAGATTGGGGGGAGTCGTTTTGGCTTTTCAGCCGCTCAGCACTGCTTCCTTTGCAGATATTTTGTACGTGACTCCACATCTTAATTTGTCTCCAGGAAGCGTAGACTTCTGCCGAAGGAAGTTATTTTCCTGGGTGTCAGTTGGCCCACTTCTTCTGGTGACAGTGTTGCCCCCTCGAGGTACCTCGCTCTATGTTGATGGTTTCTGATCCGATGTTCGTTTCTTGGGTTCTGATGCTTAGCGAGGTGTTCCATTTTGTCATGATATGCCGAGGGAAGTTTATGATGGTGGAATCAATGTTGTAAATCTCTAGGTCCCTCAGAAGCCAGCTATGCGGTATTGAGTCGAAAGCCTTCTGATAGTCTAGGTATGTCATGCATACGTTTCTTTGCTTCTGTCGGGCTTGTTCGAAAATCACAGCATCGATGCTCTTTACAGCCTTATCTTCGGCGGCAACCTTTCTGTTCTTCGGTAAGGATGGCCTCCCGTTCCAGGTATTCGTCGACTGTCCGACAAATTGCAGCCGAAAGAATCTTATACATGGTGGGAAGGCACTTACCAGGGAACTAGGGAGTTGTTCTGGTTTCCTTATTATCTTGTTGAACTGTGATGCCATGCATTCATGAATGGAAGTAAAACTTTTGTACCAGAAGTT